CCTGAGAACTTTTGCTATTCCATTTCTACGCCCCCCCCCCATCCTTCATGGACACTCCCTTCCCTTTGTACCTTTCGTTCTACTCCCTTAAGCCGTCAAAACATTTAGCAAACATCTGTGAATGGATGGATTGCCTTTGTCGGAAAAGACGCCTAAAACATTTATTGCTTTAGTGGCAAATCCGATTAGCGAGTGAAGAGATTGCTGGCGAAGTGAAAAACGGCACCAATTGGCCGATTACGTGACTCACCCCAAGACGAGGCATATCAGCGCCTGTGCTGCAGTACAGATCTGTGTAGCACAACGCAGAGACAGTCCACATAATGAGTACTGCTTTTCGATACGTAAATCTGTCATCGACATGCTGAAAATCAATCCTTATTAGAAATTCTTTTAAATTACGGTGAAGAATACTGTAAGAATTCCGAATTCGTGCTTAAAGGCACGGTCCGCGATCAGATATACAAGTTGAAAATATGGCGTTGAGAGGGTAGTGTGGTCCGCGACGAACAACCTTGTACCGGTTTCGCGGCAAAAAATTGTAAGGGAGGGGCGCTATAGCGCAATATAGGTTCAGTGACGCCTCCTTTTTTCCAGTGACTCCGCCTCCAGACTCCGCCTTCAAGGCCCGCCTTTCAGTGAAAAACGAAGCTGCAGGACGAAAAAGCATGAAAATCGTCACTTGTACGGTCGTAGAGTTCTTATCGGGGAATCAGCTGTGCGGATGAGGGCGTAGTGTTGGAGATGGAGTTACTGGGCACGTACAAACTGGGATCGAAATGGGGTTCTATCTAGAGCAGTTGGTCTTTTTCTGCTTTTTTTCTTCACTATCGAGTCACTCAGAAACTTGTCGTCTATATGGAAACCCCTAATCCACTATGTGATGGCGAATAATCGCGGTTTGCCTTTAAATATATACGCAATTTTCACGTCAAAATCAACACTTTTCAGATCAAAAGATCCGAAGAGGAGAGAACAGCAGTACTGGTGGAAGCCGCAGAGGCTGGGAAGAGCATACGCAACGCCCGCCGCGACTTCGCCAACTGTAAGACCAAGATGACCGCCCTCCGACGTCCGGATGGAACAATCACCGCATCCAGAAGGGCAATGGAGAA